GCTGTGTCTCAGGTTGGTGGGGGGGAGGGGGGGAACTTAGAGCTCTCCCTCTCCCCCCTCTTCCGCCCGTCCCTGAAGGCTGGCCAGTGTGGCTACCTGCCTTTCCACTGCGCTTCATGGTGTTTCATGTCTCGTGCAAATAAGAAATGTTAAACAATAAGTATATGGCTTAGTCCCTGCATAAATTCAAAAGTGTGGCTGCAAGAGCGTTGGTAGGTGTGTGGTGCAAATAGAAATATGGCTTTGTCCCTATATAAATTCTTTAATGTATGCTGCATAGCTTTAAATGTATAGAAATAAAATATAAATCTATTTTGCTTCCTATATAAATTAAATCCTACAGTAATCCTATCCAGTATAATTATAGAATTCAAAAGAATGAATCAATGATTATAATAAAAGAGCCTCAACGAAAAAAGGTATTCTGAATCTGAAATCCCTCTTGCTAGCAAGTAGGGAATCCTTTAGAAGATCAGTGCTGCTAGCCGTAGTTGTCTGATGCTGAGCTGCTGGAATGTACAGCTCACTAACTGACACCAAGGCAGAAAGCAGGGCAGGTCAAACAACGCCACCTTTTATGCAGGTTTTCCATCCCTACCCCAGAGCACTGGGATTGGAAGGGACCTCAGGGAAGGAAATACTGTCACTGGCCAGCTACATAGTCAATAATGAGAGCACTCCTTCCCCCCCTCCCCCTCCTCCTCCCTCTCCTTACTTCAGTTTCTCTTTCCCTAGTGCAGGCAAGCCCAGCTTGAGCTTCAAAACTCAAAATGTTTCGACTACTTCACAGTTAGGGCAGCTAGGATCTGGAACCAACTTCCAAGGGAAGTGGTGCTGGCTCCTACCCTGGGGGTCTTTAAGAAGAGGCTTGATGCCTACGTAGCTGGGATCATTTGACCCCAGTTTTTTCTCCTGCCCATGCAGCGGGTCGGACTTGAAGATCTACCAGGTCCCTTCCAACCCGACTTCTATGATTCTATGACTTGCCTCGTTTCGTTTTGAGCCTGTTTTGAAGCTTTGTGTTTCATTTTGATTTCGCTGTTTCAAGGTCAAAACAGTGTCGAAACGAAACTGGCGGCGAAATTTTGCACAGACCTTAGTAGTCACTACTTCACTTGGAGGTGTATCGCTCACTTGGAGCTGTGCTATGGAGTTTAAATCGGGAAAAGCCTTTTAGATGAGGTGTGAGCTGTAAGCCCTAATGCTGGAGTGGGCGTACTTGTGGCGGATGAGAGATGTAAAACCTGTGGAAGAAACAATTAGTTACTCAGGCAGCTCAGAACTACAAAGCCCAGGCCCAGACCCTGGTCCTGAGAAAGTTTCCATGGAATTGGTGTATGCTGGCTGCAGTGCTCCAACTATTGCTCAGCAGAGGGTCTTTCCTTACCTGCTTGTTATAGTGAATAAGCGTGAGTGCACCCAGGCATGAGCTACATCAAGTAGTTTTCTGCCTGGGCTTCAGTCTGGGAGCTGGTGGGAGAGGGAAGCCTCTTGCAATATGTCAGTGTGCATTGTCGGAGTTGGTCCCAATGTAGGCCCAAGTACTTGGCCCTTCCAACTCTACATGACAGAGAAGCCCTGCCATGGCTGCTGGGAGGTGTCTACCTCCAAAGCAGACAGAGTAGCTATTGCCCGGCTGAAGGCTGGAGATGAGGCACCTCTGAAACCTCCGCTCAATGACATATTGCCAGAACTCCAGGAAAGGGCTGGGCCTGGTGTTGCCCTCCCTCTTACTTTTGCCTCTGCTTAAGGTTTTATATAGCAAGGCTCCGTGTCTTCATGTTTGAAGAATATGCCTGCAGCCCTGCTGGGCTTGGCAAGCATGCCTAGTCTTTCCCTTTAATACATATGGATCTGGGCTGCTCTCCCTGTCTGGGCAGGATCCTTGTAATAGGGTGGTGTGAAGCACTAGCTGAAATAGGAAAATAATGCGATTGACGTTCATAGTGAAAAGGTGCCTCGGCTTGTCTCATGCTGGGCTCTGCACAGACTCCTAGCAAAAAATGGCTGCTTCCCCAGGGAGGTTAGTGTCAGTGGAGCTTGGAGCAACTGTTTATTGGGGAGGGGTTGTTGCCTACATACCTAGCTGGAGATTTCCCAGAGGGAGCCATGTTCCTTCCTTCTTGTAGAGACAGCTTGGAAGATTGTGCAAGAAGTGTATGCTCTGGCTCTTTCTGCTGGGCTTCTGAGTGTGCCCTTCTGCTGAGTACTCTCCCTTTGCCAAGAAACCATTTTCAGCATGGCAGCCTATAGTGGAAGCAGCCATCTCAAAACAGCAACTGCTGGTTAAGCTTGCCCAGCGTGGGGGGGGAGGGGGAGGCAGATTCTTCCCAGTTAAGGATTGTAGCCATATTGCCAAACCCTAAGTAGATTGCAGCTGGCACGTATTCATTTTGTAGCACTTTGATTGGAGCAGCTTCTACACATGAAGGAGACCAAATTTGGAATACAGGGGGGTCTGCTAGGTGTGGTTCCCACACTCCAGCTGCTCCAGCTTAAAGTAAGGAAGACCTGGCCTGAATAGAAGCTGTTCCCAGGACTCATGTATATAATAGCAAGAACAATAGGGTGACCTATATATAGGGCTCTGAGACCACTAACACTGTACATTTATGTAGAGCACAGCAATAGGAACGCGAGACATGTGGGATGGGATGCATTGATGGGGCTGTTTGTAGCAGCATAGGGAAGGCTGACTGCTTGCTGCCTTGCTTTCCTTACTTCAGGATTCCACAGTAGGGAGGGGAGGTGTAGGGCAGGGGAAGGTGGGGTTAGTAGTTATTTCCTGTGTGGTACAGGGCTTGCTGACCTGTGGAATATTCGTGCATTGAACTAATTTTCCATTTTCTTCTCAGTTCACCCACTCCTCTTTTTTACGCATTGGGCAGCTGAGCAATGTCGATCTTGATGATGATGCACATGAGCTGGTGAGTGGCACACAAGGGAATGAGCAGTTATTGTGAGAGCAACCCGCAATTGTCCAGGAGTCTGTAGGTCGTTGCCTTCATGTGGGAGGTGGCTCCCTTCCCAAAGCAGTATTATGGCCCTATTGGAAATCCAGCAGTTAGTGCAGGGTGTGGTTCTTCTCTTTGCAATCCTGTTTTGTTACTTTTGATTTTATCCTCCTGTTCCCAATTCCCCCCACTCCTCCTTACACACATGCACACCTTGCTCCTGCCTAGAAATTGCCATGTGGGAGCTCCTGCCAGAGGAGATGTCTGTAGGAAAATTTGGGGCCTATCTGATAACGATGTTTTGGAGAAATTAGCTTTAAAAAATGAAAGACTTCTGTGTGTGTCAAAAAAATAAAAACCATCTCCTCCTTCCCAGCCCACATGTTACCCAGAGCAGGGGTCTGGGATCTGTCCCATGTGTTTACACACAGGATAGGTCCCTGCTGAGGCTGTCAGTGGTACCTGGGATCTGTGGGCCCATGTCAGGGGCAAGAGGGGAACAGCCGCCAGTTGCCATTTTGGGTCCAGTGTCTGCTGTTCTGTGGCTTGTAGCCACTTCAGTGCACCATTTATGCCATGAGCCAGGATGCTGGCTGCCTGTTGAGTGCTAGCTAGCTCACTGAGGACTTGTTACACAGAGTGTGATTTCTGTTCCACTGGGGTGTCGCTGTAGTCTGGACTGACAGAAGTTTGGAATGAAAAGGTGAAATTTCCCTTTGCTTCACCTCACTGCAGAGTGGCGGGGCTAGAGCAGGGGTGGACAATTATTTTGGGTGGAGGGCTGCTTACCCAGTTTTGGCAGGCTGTCGAGGGCCAGCCCTGCCCCTTGACAGCACTGGTGGGGCCAGAGCAGGGTGCAGGCTGGCAGGGGTCTGTGGAGCTGGGCTGGGCTGCACCAGCAGGGAGAGGTGGGGGCTGGCCCGGCTTCATAGAGCCCCTGACGGCCAGGACCCTGTACTCCTGCCGCTCTGCTCTCGGCCCCACTGGCGCTGGCCCTGGGACACTGGTGCAGGGCCTGTGCTCCTGCACCCACTCACTCCCAGTGCTTATCTAGCCCCGTGGTACAGGTTGGGGGGCAGCGCACAGTACCAACCCCCTGCTTGCCGGCAGGGAATGAGCTGGTGCTTAGCGTGGGGAAAAGTGACCTCTCGCCTGCCCCATGGCCTGCACTCCCTGCTGCTGCTGCTCACAGCCCGTGTGGGACTGTGTGGAGCAGGCAGAGGCAGCCCCGCACAGGCTGCAAGTGGCTACAGCGTAGGGCAAGTGAGGGGCAGCTTTTCCCCGCGCTCAGCACCAGCTTGTAACTCAGCTCTGCTGCCAGGCTGGGCCCCGCGCCGGCTCCAGGCTCGCGCGTTGGGGCTGTGTGTAGCAGCAGGAGCTGTAGCCCCCCTGCTTGCCGTGCCGGGCAGTGTTGGCTGCTGCCGCCTGCGTGGAGCTTACGCATTGGGGCGCTGGCCATGGGGCCAGGTGAGTATCCACTTCCCCTGCCTGCGCTCAGCTTTTGCTTGGGCCATGTTTCCCCGGGCTCCTTCCCTGCCCTTCCCCCCCACTCCTTCCCTTTTACCTGTGGTTCCAGGGTCCCAGGCCAGAAGCCCCAGGTGGGGGGGGTAGGGCTGGGCGGGCCCTGCTGTTGTGGGAGCCTGCTGGGTTTCCCCTGGGTCCTACTGCACTTGGTTCCTGTCATTTTTTTTTTTTCAAGACCCAAGGACAGATGGATATTAATTTTCTAAATTTTTTAGGGGCCCTGTGGGCCGGATAGAATGGCCTCGTGGGCTGCGGGCCATATTTTGCTGACCCCTGGGCTACAGGCCAGTGCTAAGTCAGCACAGGAGCTGGAGGTACAAGTGCAGCACAGGAAGGATAGTCACAAACAGGGTAAACTTGGGTAGCTCAGCAATGCCAGTAGCAAGGAAAATGAACCAGGACTTTGGGTACCTGGGCAGTTAGTCTGTCTTGAAGCCCATGTCCCCACCACTTCTGTCCTGAGAGAGCTTAGTCACAGTTCTCCATGCTCCAGTGCAGGCTCTCCCATGCTCTGCGCCTCTAATAGACCTGGTAATTCCTCTCTCTACCAAATGAATGCTTGCTGTCTAAGCGAGGTCATTTGGCACCATCCTTATTTGGTAGGTGTACCACAAAATAGCCCTGTGCCCTCCCAGCATGCCACTCTGACCCCTTTCTCCTGCTCTGTCTTCTGTTCTGCTTTCTGCTCTATCTGCTGCTCTGCTTTCTGTTCCCTGCTCCATCTCCCATTGTGCTGCCTCCTCAGTCTGTTGTATATCACTTGTGGCACATGTGCTTCAAGTTGGCCACCCCTGAGGTAGGTCAAATGATGTGTGCTAGAGAGTCATCTGTCTGCTCCCTGCCTCTGCAGAAGGAAAATGTTCTTGGACTCCATGACCCAGGTAGAAAACTTGACTATTCTTTTGAAGACCGTTTGTTTGGCTGGGACTTTTCTGCAGCCCCATAGGACATGCTCCCAGAGAGCACATTAAGCCTGTTTGAGACTGTCTTAGTTTTTGTGTCTATGCCCCAACTCCTGCATTGTGTAGCTGCTCCTACCCCAGCTCCTGGAGTCATGTGACTACATCAGATTCTGCTTGCAGTTAGTCATTATTTTTGTTTCTAGCCCTCTCATTTGCTGATAAAAGGCTGAAAATGTAGCCTTCTTCCTCGGCGCATGAACACCAGAAGGCAAATGGAGACTCCCAAATCTAGTAACCTTTCTTGCCAGGTATTTTAAGCTGTTTCTGGGAGGAGAGTCCTGTTTCCTGACTTAATCTTGGGGGTTGGCAATAGTGTGGATCACAAGGCAGATCCTAGTGGGGTGTGGACCTGGCAGAACAGCTTTCATGGGTGAATTCTTTTCTCCAGCTCTTCATAGACTGCCAGACTCATGCAGAGTCTTGTTCCTGGGGCGGCAACCAATCCCATGGAAGTAGCTACATGTGTTGTATGGGTAATCTGCAAGGGGCTGTGCCAGAATCCATGGAAGCAGATTCTGTCCTTTCCTCCCTCAGCTAAATGGATCACCCCTATTCCTTGTCCCTCTCCACTGTAATTGGGAGCCAGCTTTATTCTGTGGCTCAGGGCCTGGGAATATGATTACACTGAGCCAAGCATTGCTGGAGTGCTGCCTCCAACCTTTGCTTGCTGCTTAAGTACCTCAGAGTAAGGTCACAGTCACTGATCCATAAATGGATTGTGACCACAAAGGCTCGCATTATTCCTGAGAAAAGACCCCCCCCCCCCCCCCCCCCCCC